TCACGTAATCCGGAGTCATCGAAAAACATTCGGTTACGTGATCATATTCCCATCAAGCAATCGACTGGTCTCATCGCTATTCACTAGGCGCGAGGCGAATGGACTCGTAATAACAGCGGTGCGTTTCACAAAGCGGACGACACGCGTTTCCACGATGAAGCCCCGGCGTTTACACCGACGGAATTAATGAGGCGGGAACCGCGACGCGACAGTTTGGCGAACAATAATAGCAATAATAATTAAACCTTCGCGTACCACCGCGGCGAAAGTAACGGAAATAAATATAGAAAAATCAGATCAATCGGGATTAATTAAAGACGCGGGGTGTGGCTTAAGTCGCAGTCAGCAGCTGCGCTTTCACAACCCTTTCCGCTCGAGAGGTGACTCGCAGTCACCACTCAATTTGACAAAGCAAAATTCTATAAAAATCTATAATGTTCAGCTTTGTATAATGCATCAATGCACAAAGTATTAGAATATAATACCTTTGTTTCTTAATTTATATATCCTCTCATTACTTAGTTTCAAGGAATATCGTCGATACCTCATTGAAAAATATAGAATATTTTCAATGAAACCCTTTCGAGTGCAAAGGGTTGAATTTCTTCTCGAACTTTCGTATTCTTTTATTATTACCTTCATTTCATTCACTGCCTTTCGTTCGAAAATCGTATATTAAACGTAGACGGTATTTTCACGATTATCAGAGCACAAATCCATATAATTACACCTCAAACCGATGCTATAGCCACGAGGTGGATCATAACAGCCCATTAGAAATTTTTTATTCAGTATTTAGAAATGCAAAAATACTCCCGCGAGGAATCTCGGATAACTATCGAAATCTTAATAAGTACACTCTTGTAATTTACACTTTTCGCAAGTGCATGTCGGAGCGATGAATATTTTGCAACGTATTCACTCGAATTCCACGTTGCCGAGGAGGATTAACATTCAACAAAAAAAGAAACTAATGAAAACACCTATAGAAACGTTTCTATCGTAATCAATAGAACGTCATCAAGTCATCCCGAGGGTGAAAGCACAGACGGCAGCGTAGCCAGCTTAAATCGCACTGTAAACGTAAGAACTAGTCCGTCAGAGGACAAGGACAGCTTCGATCACGAAGAAATTCCGAAGTTCGATCCGAAAATTTAATCCGCGGACCTCGATCGATCCCGCTAATTAAATCCGCTGGTAGCCTGGTGAGCAGTCGAGAAAGATGGCGAGGAATAGAGGATAGGGAGAGAAAGAGAGACGATGAAACCACGGGGTATCGATCCCGATCTCGCGAGACCTTGTTCGACGCGGCTCCAACTCCCGGCGAGGATGAACTTAATTTTCGTGCGGCTACAACCGTGGCAAGGTCTTCCGGCAGCGACTTCCACTCGTTCCACCTCCTTCGGGGCCTCCCTTTGACTGTTTACGCAGTATAATTAACGCTGTGCACTGCGAAGACGTTAAAGTGGATTCTCTGCGGCTGATTTAACAGAGTAAACAAGATTGCACCACCGGGCTCTCTCTCTCTGTGAAAGACGTTCCGGATGGACGAGGACGTGCACCAACGCGACGGTGATAAGTATCAGACCGGGGTCGGGAGGGGACGTTGCTGCTCTCTTATCCTGGAACGCGACGCGACGCTTGTACGCGCCGGGAAACTAATCGGACTCGTTTTTTCCGCATCATTTCTGTTAACTCTTATTAACTACTCGCGTATATACGTTCGGCGGAAATCACATCAGTTTGGCCGAGGAACTCACATATGCGTTCGGCGGAAACAACTGATAGGGCCGAAAGATTCGAAGCCGAAAAGGGCCGAAAAGTAAGGATCATTGGAGCAAGACAATGAACTTTGGCACTTAGAATTACAGAACGATAGTTCTGCACTGAAACCAAGATCTAATCAAGACCTAATCATGGACATTATATAAAATGTCCGGGCCATTTACATATATATATATATATATATATATATATATATATATATATACGATTTAAAAGGAAACGTGTGGTGTATTTCGTAACTGTTGAATTTACTTTGGTAATGATAATTTGCCAGTGATAAAGAATATTTTGTTTTATATTTTTTACTTTGAATCATAAGGATTGATAAAAGAATAACAGTATTCAATTTTCACTCGGAATAACTACGTGAAGTCTTTTGAAGAATTCTTCGTGAGACGTTAGAGTGCTAAGTATTTATTAAGAACACTGATTACAAAGATTCAATGTTTAATGTCGGTCTGCCGGCGTGACGCGAGGCAAGAAAACGATGATTAACCGTATCTCCGCAACTAACGAGGTCTATATCGTCTTAATCGGTTGATCCAGCGAGCGTATAACTGGAACCCGGTGTATTTCGAACGATGATTTATTCAAATTCTCGTGGCTCGTTACACGCCGGGAGAAGATAGAGGGCTGGAATAATTGATTTCGCGCGGTTTACGCGTCTGGGTAACGGTAATGCGATCGTAATAATTGTTATCGTGGAATTAATTGAGGTCTCGCCGGCACGTATAGCGGTGGCGTTCGGCAGAGAAAGTACGGTATTAGGTGTCCATATTAGGTCTCCGCCGCGTTCGTGAGAATTTGTTATATATCGTTCGTTCTGAAAATAGGCCTATGTACTCTTGACTCGCGAAGGAAAAGGTAATCAGAATGCCGGGCCCCGAGAGACAATGGCTTGCATCACTAATATTTCGCGGTACTTTCCTTTCTCGAAGCGCAACTCCGGGACGCGCAATTTCAGTCCATCCAGCGAGTCGAGGCGAATGAAATCTTATCCGGCGAAAATCGTCGCGATTTTTCCTCGCGTTTTTCTCGCCGTAGAACTCCCGCCTGTCGATTTCGTTGCTGATGTTTGGTACTAGAGGGAATTTGTCAATTGTTCGTCTAATTAACACTGAAACTACCAGACGCATCAAAACGAACCATTCCTGATTTCTTCTTTTCGCAATGATTAAAAGGAGAACAGATGTTTTCTGTCGAGATTTCAATTGACTCGTGATTCAATTTGCGTATTGCTAAATCAGTTTCTTTAGTGATTTCACAGAGAAGTGTTGGTATTATAATAATTGTGGAAGAAGAATTTAGGTATGCGTAAATTTGATGTATTTAGTAGTTCTAGTGGTGACCTACACGCGATTGCAAATGAAAATGATAGTGTAACTGTTAATATTAACACTAAAACTACTAGACGAGTCGAAATTAACCATTCCTGATGTCTTTTTGCACATTTTAAACAGATAACGGATGTTTCTCTGGGAAATTATTCAAGAAATCGATTTAGGAGTACGAAAACTGAATTGTAAAGCTATTGTAATATCGATAGATACACTCTTGGACTTTCTATAAAGGAATTTCGAAAAGTTAATGTAACTGCTTAGTTTTACTGCTAAGAACACATCGTAGATTCTCGTTGCGAGGCTCGTTGTCGATTCGAAAAGACATCTGTTTATTTGATTACGATACAGTAACATTGTAAAAGTCTCGTGTACAAATTATTTGTGTTTCAATTTGGCGTATGGGTTTCATTAAACTGTTGCACAATACTTCCTGTCTTCGCTGTTGAATACGAGAACTTATACCGTTGGTTAATAGTGTAGTTTATGTAATGTGATCTTTGATGTTGTGTTCAGGCACTGGTAAACCGTAAACGTTTCGCTCGGTTTCTGGTCTGGGAATCGCGAAGCCGAGTTGAAGTTTCGTGGACGATTCCCAAATTTTCATCCCTAACGTGAAAGCAGAACGTCGATCACGGATGATTAATAGCGACACGCGATACTTGGTGTAGAAACACAAAACTCACTGCGTGACAGATTAACACGTTTGTCACTATAGTTCGTGATACTAAAATTCTTCGACTATTTTATTCGGATATTTTTTTATCTTACACTTGAATCACTGCTGTATAGGAACTTTCGGTAGCCACTGGTTGACTATTTTCATTTTTCCTTGCACTTGAACACTTCACACGTTTAAATGTAATCGTTTGTTACATATTCTAGAAGTTCTTGTTCACGTCGCAATAATGTTGCACATGTGAGGAGGTTTAAATCGCGATGTTGTTAATGATTTTACTCGATACTTGAAATCAGTGAAGAGACCGTGTACAAGTCTTGATTACAATTAAAATAGCTGACATCCATAATCAATAATAATCGAATAATGATACAGTAACGGATGATAAAATCATGCAGAAATTTAAAAAGCCTGTTGCTTCTGTTAGTCAATTTGACATTTATTAAAACCAAACCATCTGTAAAAAAAACGGTTGAAGCTTTACATCGCCAACGATTCCTATCTCCAATAATACGTGATGTATCTACAATCAGCAAATCAACCTTCAAACTCACTCAGCATGCATCAAACTAACCTAGATTCCATTCTGCATAAGAAACCATTAAACCTTTCCATTAAAATTCTTTCCTTGAATACTGAAATGAAAGATCAAGTTCAATCAAATCCTCCTAAATTCCAATCTAAACACGTAAGACTCTAAACTGAACTTCAGTCGAACGTGATCCAAAAGTACTGACTAAGCCTTGCCTAACCGAAACACCTCGAATCTCAAGCAACTAAAAAAGTCCCATCAGAAGAGTCACTGAAACTCCATACTCTACACAAACCCTACGTCATACAACTACCTCCAAACCTTACGTAAGCATCCTATAGTATAGACTGACATTGATAACGTCCTCACTTAACACTAGAACCACCGGATAGGTGAAAATGACCTAATTCGTCTCACTTCTTTCGCAATTATGAAAAAGGCACAGACGACTCCCTAAGAAATTATTCGATGAATTGACTTAGATAAATACAAACTATGTAAGGAAATTGAACAGTCAGTATAATCAGTTGCAAAGAATAATCAATCTTACTGCTCGGTAGTTCTGGTGTTAAAGGTAACACGACAAAAACTCGAAACGATCAGCATACTTCGGACACAATAGCCTAGAACCCCTAAGCATCCGCATCGTCTAATTCGAGAAACTCACCGACGAATAAGAGAAACGCGAAGCAGGCCATCAGGCTGAGGATACCTGGGGACCGCATGGTCCTCTTGGTCTCCTGGTCCGTTCCGCCTGTTCCTCCCCCGCGAATGGCACTTGCTGAGATCGAAGGCTACACCAGGGACCGCGGACACTGACGGACGAACCTCATCCTCGGGCACCGGTAACGTGGCGGTGTCGTTAACGCAAAAGCGGGGAACGGAACGAGCCGAGGAACACTGAACGGCGACACGCAGAGAGCAGGCGATGGTAACCGGTCCTCGGGACGTGAAAGACTGAGGAAAGGCGCGTTTCGTTCGGTCGTTGGTCCGCACCGCGATGTCAAGCATCGGCTCCGAGCCCACCTCTGCTCTGTTCGTTTGCTCCCTGCCGTTCCCGATCTTCGCCGCCGCCGCTCTCCCTTCACGGAATGAGTATCTCCCTTCACGGGGAATCCTCTTTCCAATGGAAAGCCGTAACCGATCGACCTTCTAGTCCACGAAGACGCCTGCGACGATATCTCGCGGCTGATGGATACCTTGAACGTTTTACTGTGCTGGAAACAGTGTTAGGCTGTTCTAGGAATATTGTCGTTTCTTAACTTTCGAAGACGTTCTTTTGGTAACGTTTTGGAAATTAGATTACCCTAGGAGTATTGTACCTTGAACTTTTTCTACGTCGAAAACAATGTTAGGCTATTCTAGGAGTATTGTCGTTTTTTGGAGACCTAGGAGTACACATCGTCGTTTCTTGTTTTACCTTGTAAGGTATTTTTAATACCATTTTCGAAAATTAGATCATTCTAGGAGTACTGTAGTTTCTTGGTTTACTTTATAAAGTACTTCGTAATGCTCAGATTGTGTTCAATAAAATTATGAACTTCGCAACATTAGATACTTTACAGTTCAATGTTTATTTAACCAATTTTAATTGGCACAGCGTAGGCTCCGTGTTCAGTGATCCAGAGAAATTTAATCATGCAAACAGTTTTGTAGGCAACTTTCATTCCTTGCAATGAACTCACCGGGAAGTTCAAACGTCACGGCTGCTGGTATGTTAACAAATTCTGGCTGACCACCAGACATCTCGAATATGCCGGTACACGGAATTCGGCGAACCCTCGGTTTGACTAGATCACAGTCACTGAACCATGAACAAGCCAAAAGATTCGATAAAACGTCATACTTCCGCAGTCCATCCCAATATCAGGGTGGATCCCAGCGCAACGGATATCCTCGCGATTTAAATTCTTACCCCTCTATTTCCATTTTATCAGTCTTCGCGTCATCGACGGGTATCTAAATTAACCATAACTCACTGAACTATACGGTTTCCAATAATATTTTTCATCGTCAACATCATCGTACCAAAATTACAAAAAGAAACAACTTTGGCACGTCTTTTCGAAATTAATGATGCAAAAAGTCGTGAATAAATTACACTACATGACAATGTAATAAACTAGACTACATAAGTAACAGATACGATCATTGTTTTGATAAAAAACCATCAATCTAGGGATAAGGTTGAATCCTTTTGCGAGATAATGAATTTCTTCCAATGTGAACAAGCAGGCGAGTATAAAAGACGAACTTTTTAGTCATGCTGATTTATTACACATCAAACAGCCATTCTTTACACATTGATTCTTACTCGTTGTTCTTACATCAATATTTTATCTTGATATAATAATTGGTAACAAGATATAAAGACCTACTCCATCAGTAAAGAGACTTCTCCTGACGTTTTTAATAACTCTCTCAAAAAACACTTTCTACAGCTTTCCGCTGGTGGCAATATGAAACTTGAAAAATCACCGCGTGAACTTGCATATACACGTTTTGTGTGACTCACGATCGAACGGGCTGAATAATGCAATATTCTAACCGATACGCGACTTGTCGACCGAGTTGTTCCTCGACCGGCGTGATACTTTTATGCGACCTAGAGTTGCGCAGTTATTATTCAGGTTTTGGCTGATCTGTGTACAAGATAAGTGGGAAAATAAAATCTACGGTTTACAGTGAAAGAGAAGTCTACATGTAAATGCCTGTAAAATTCGGATTATATAAATAACGAGACAAGGGTCTCTGATTAAAATTTAGAATGGGTATTAGTATTTTTCGAAAAGTTTTTGATTAACACGTTGAATGCCATGGGAGTCACCGGTGACCCCGACCAAATCGAATTAGTATAGTTCATTCAATTAAACGATGTTTATATGAAAACATTTCTATATTATAAATAATGCTACCTAATACGGTGACATTCAGCTAGATGAACGTGGAATAGTAATAATACAATTCAATTAAATGATTTAACATTATATTTTTCTCAGTGTATTTTCCTCTATGAAATCGTGCGGCGTTCAACGTATTAATTAAATTGCATTTCTTCATTTTGTTTATTCGGTTCTCATGAAGAGATTTCCCTGTTTGTGTTGCAGAAACTGAAAACGGTAATTACGAGCCCGGAGAACGTGGAGAATGCCCACAGCGTCGAAACGGCGATCACGCAGCATTTCGCGTTTCTTCATGGGACTCTTCAGAATATGGAAAGAAAAATCATCGATGAGCTGCACCAGCATCGCGATTCATGGAACAAAAACATAGACGACATTTCTGAGCAGCTCAAAGAATTGGAGAGTCGTTTGCAAACCGCGCTTACCGTAAGTACAATGTGAATTCGATCGTTGTTCGTCTAATTCTGCGAACATTTAACGAGTCTAGAGTTTAATTACTCTAGATTACTACTTTGTGCTAAATGAAGAAGAAGATAGACAATGAAACTACAAGAATCTACAATTATTTTGTGAATTCAATTCAATTCGTTGTTAACTAATTACTGAATTAGTATATTCTATAGACCGTTCGATAAAATTGTATTTTCTTTTTAAGGAGATGAGTAGCTGTTTTAATTGTATCAAATTCTAATATTCATTCTTCAATCGTATCGAATTGTAATATCTATTCTAACCCTTCGCACTCTAGAGGCGCCTCAGTCGCCAATTAATTTGATACAGCAAAATTGTAAAGTTTGACATTTAATATTAAATTTTATATAATTCATCGATATTTGAAGTATTGAAAGAAAATAGTTTTCGTCCTCAATGTATGTGCGATTTCTCGCTGATTCAATATCAGAAAATGTTATCTGTATCTCATTAGAAAATATTGAGTATTTCCAGTAGAAAACCTCTGTGCAAAGGGTTAAACATATCGAGAAACAAAATAATCAAGATACAGTCGATATAACAAAGCTTTACGATGTGCTTCGACGAATTGCATAATCGTTTTAAATATATCCCGGAGACGTAAAAATCTTCCATAAATCAAATTTAAGTGACGAAGGTAATTCGAGCGAAATTAGATGACATTGCCAATTTCCCGCGTGTCATAAAACGTTCCAGATTTAAAATCTTCCCCTGTGAGCTACAGTGGGTGTACATGACAGGGGAGGTACAAATTTTCATAATGAAATTATTATGAACAGCCAACAGTCATTGAAACGAGCTGACGCGACGCGGGAAAGTCTTCCCTTGACGGCTAATTTTAACAGAGTTTTCGCGTCTCGATTGTCAATGATTAAAATTTAAACGTTCGTTATAATATGATCTACACGGCCACTTAAATCGCCGAATCTTTTGTGACAGATCTGCTCAACTACTGAGACGATCAAAGGAAAAGTATAATTTGAATTTCATTATAATTTATTATTATTATTATCGTTGTTATTATTGTTATTGTTATTATTATTTTCATTCTTTGTCTTGTCCTTTTAAAAACTACATCGTCCTTTGATAACAATTGGAAATCTGATTTAACAGGTAATTGGCTCTGTAGACGAAAATTTGGACAAAATAGATCTTCAACAGGTGATTAAAAAGCTGCGAAAGCTGTGCGACATTCCCTGCCATTTGTTAATAAATTCCGAGCCGGAGGACATGGAAATAAGGTAAGCGACAATCCTTTTGTTTTCGGGGAAACGACGATCAAATTTTCATAATTTCGCGCGTCAACGTACGGCGAACAACAGTTTAACAAAATCTTATTACATTCAGTGATTACCATGAAGTGTGGGCAGGCACTTACAATTTTCTATGGCACATTAACACTAGGTTCACTGACATTTTGATATACCTATCTCTACTGACACAGGTCAATCTGACTCGTAAAAATAAATCATGCGTTTTCTTCGGAAAACAACTTGAAAGACGACATAATTATACAGAATGATGTACGATATATGATTTTCTGCTCAAGTGGCAGAAGAAGAATGTAAACGGTTTCTGTAATTTCCCTCGAAGTTCGAAATTCGTCCGGTAAACCGATTGTTAACGATAGAACTATCAGCTGGGTGAAAATGAGCAACTCCTAATTCCTTCTTTTAGAATGACTGCAAAGGTTACAGATACTTCTGTAGAAAATGATTAAAGAAACTGATTGAGTAATACCTGAACTGAAATAAAAACCAATTGAAATCTTAACACTAGAATTATGATGGATCAAAATGATTTATTTCTGATTTCTTCTCTTATAATCACTGAAAAGGTACAGATACTTCTACGAAACATTATTAACGAAACTAACCCAGTAATAGCAAAACTGAAATACATCTCAATTGAAATCTTAGTAAACGCACGCTTGTAGCTTTTACAAAGAAATTGTCAAAAGACGATTCAAGTGCTCGGTGGTTCTAGTATTAATAAATCCATGCTTATAGCTTTTACAAAGAAATTGTCAAAAGATGGTTTAAGTGCTCAGTAGTTCTAGTGTTAATTAATTCGAACGAAGTGTTTGGTTAAGAATTGCCTTCAACATCTTTTATATTGCACAATTACCAAACACTGAAAACGTTATTGTATTTTAGACACGTGAAACGGGATAGTTAATGTTCTAATCTCCGTCGGTTCACGATCATCATTTAACCAACGGACCAGTA